TGAAACAGATAATCCTAAAAGCRTTTTTCAGACTGTGCCTTTTAAAATAAATACATTTGCAATATGTACTTCAGTCATTATACCCTAACACTGAAAACAGSAAACAAAAATCCCTTTCAGTGCCTRCTGAAAGCTTCCAGATATCATTAAAGAAGCAGAAAAGAGGGGTTCTCTCTAAACATGTTCAAAAAGAGGCACAAATGTACAAGGCCATACTCAGAAATTAAGCCGACACTTGGGCAAACCATTTTTACATGCCAGCAGAGAGAGACAAAAAAGTACTTTTTACAAAAGAACAAACATAGAGGTAATGGAGAAGAAAAAGGATATGCCAGAGTTATATTTGTTTGTTACCCTGAAAACTCTGTGGYTTTTAGTCAACTGTGGGTTTCTCCTTACACCCCAAAATAAAAGGACATGCAAGGAGAACTGATTGCAAAGTATCAGTTTCAACTGGTAATGAGAGAAATGCCCCATATTTYCTTAACCCTAATGCATTTTCATAGTCTTGGTGTTACTGGACTGTAACAGTAGGCAAAAGGAAAATTCTAGGACAGCCATAAAGTGACAGCTGATGATTTTTCCTCCTTKTGACACAAATGGAATTCTGGTTTCACTCCTCAAACAATTTCTACCAGCATACTGGTAACTCAGTACTAGAATTCTTAAGAATACATCAGAGCCAGGTTAGCAACCTCCATCCTGAGCTCAAATTTTTTTTAGTTTTAAGGTCATTGTTTTCCATGCGTTGTCAGGGGGGRAATAGATGTAACAGGAAGTGTCTAAGAGAACAGCTGTATTACTTATTCTAAAGAATTACTGCCCAATCATCAGCATATTTAGCTCTTTCCTTCTGTGACTGACAAAAAAAAAAAATCTCTGATTCAGTTTATTCCTGGGATAATATTGTAGAATTTTTTTTTCTGGAGTTCAGTGTCAAAACCAGATCAATGCAGATTTTCTGAAACCATTTTTGACTGTGAGGGGTGAATGTCTAATACTGAGCAGCAGCACTGAGCTTTCAGCATTGCATCACATGAAATGCAGCCAACAGTAACAAACATTCCCCTGTTCMCCATCTCTCATCCCATTCTGTTTCAGTGGCTGGAAAAGCAAGCTGATATTTCCAGCTCTGGGAGTCGGATGCTACCCCTCYAGCCGACCAGAAGAGGAGGCTCTGACACTGAGCAATTGGCTTCCCTCGAGGAAGATGCTGGGATCATGCAGCAATCCCTCGCTGCGGGAGGAAAACTGCATCGTGTCAGGGAATGAGCTTAAACCTGATACATGTGGAGGAGTCTCAAACCTTTTGAAATAGAAAGAAGCTAGGAATCAGCTAAATTTCCATTCTGAAATATTGTTATTAGTATTTGTTTATAAAAATCTGGTTCGTATAAACAGCAAATGTTCCTTCTTATGTATCAGGGAAGTGAGAATCAAATTTATATTGGAGACACAATACCAAGTATGACAGGTCTTCTCCCCTTGAAAGCTCATTTTCTATTTATGTATTGCTATGACCCTACAGTCATTACCCCTTGCACTTGTGGGTGAAAATTTTAACAGTATACTAGTGAATTTGACAACCCAACATGCCCAAGAAGCAGTTGTAGCTTTAAACTGTTTTAAGTAAAAGGGAATGTAGGTACCATGGCACTGAATTACTCTGCTCAAAGACATGTTCAAACTGCTTTTGGCTGAGCTAGCTCTTCCATCCTATATTCTACTTAAAAAGTCTATCTCCATCTATTTCCTCTTAGACACACAGGCTCCCAAATTTGGCAGCAGACAAATCTTAAGTACAACAGAATCCTCACTGAGACTCCAAAATAAGTGTGTTCAGTAGTGTTTCACAAAAAATACAACACATATTATTACTATTATTATTATTATGATACAGGACTGTCAATACCTTCATGCAAAGGGATAAATGTTAAAGCCATGCTTAGCCCTAAAACTGCAGCTTTGAATTTCACTGAATTTCATAACACAGCTTCACCTGTGTTATGTCCCCTCCGAAGAGCAGCAGGAGCTCACTGACTGATTGACTGCTTGGTTTAAATCCTTGGTCTCAAGTTTACTCTTATTGTTTTGAATTCTATCAYCATTAGCTATGCTCTTTCTTGCAGCTATGCCCTACCTGTGCAAAAGACTTGACTAAATCAAAAAGATTTGACTAAACTAAGGAAAAATTGTTTCCAGTTTGAGATTAATGTCAGACAAAGATATAGTGAAACTGAAAATCAAACCAAACCTTATTTCCAGTAATACACTTATGGCTGCAGAACTTGCATCATCTGAAACATTGATCAGCTTTGTGAAATAATGATTGACCTTCGTGGAAAAAAAACTATGCTAGTTTCCCTAGAACAAACAAACAAAAAAGCAGTGAAAGGAGAAATGCATGCTTGAAAATTAGTGGAAGCTGCAATCAGATCAGCAATAAYGTACAAGAGGATTTATGGTTTTAACTAGACACTGAAGTTGCACATGCAAAGTGTTYAGCTAACACTGCCATGCCTTAACCTTAACCAGAGTAGGGTGAGAAAAGCTTCTCTTGATGTAGGATGACACTGTTGCGACTGTCTTGTAATGTAGTTTTTGGCTGATTTTTAAAAATCACAATCAAATTMATTTCATGTGAACCATCAATTTAAACACTGTCAAGCAGACATGTAGTGGTAACTTCTGCCTGTGTGTCACAGAATTCTTCATTTCTACAATGACTCTGTTACTGGAACCAATAAAGGAACAAGAAACCTTGGTTTTAAAGTGTATTTACTGTAACATGCCTTATGGCAACATCAGCATTAAATTTTTTCTAACAGAAAATTATTGTTATTCTGGATTTTGAGATTTCTCTGGGGGTTCAATGCCTTCTTTCCCTTTCAAACCACCCCCAGAGAGGAATTCTTCTTCACTTAAAACTTACTGTTATCTAGCAGTGTAGACACAAGCGTCACTCCTCTTGAYCTGCAAAGGGTCCCCACTCCAGCACTCTCCTGCTAGCTCTTCCCCCTGTGCTAAAGACCCTACACCTAAATCTTCCTGAATACTGCTTGATACCCTGTTTACCCTCATACCTTCCCCTGGATGCCAYCCTTTTCCTCCAGAAAAGTTCCAGTAGCTCTCTTTCCCAGCTGCTGGTACTGTCTGTAGCCTCAGAAAGGCTGCTTCCAGCAGCTCCCATAAACCTTCCCTAAGCATCCCACACAGAATTCTCAAGTGTGAGGCAGAAAGCTCCTGAAAACRGGTTGAGTCCTTTCATCCTTATCTCCCTCTGAAGGGTTAGAATAGGAAATATAAAGTGTCTTCATGGCTTTCATGCTAAGGGCTCTTTTAGGACCTTCAAGAAACCCCTAAAGTGTGTAAAGTTAACTTTTCTATACAGTAGATTGTTAAGAGAGAAAACTGCTTTCTGTGGTAAACACCTTTGAAGATCCATGGCAATAATTTGAAAACTAACACTTGTGAATGAAGAAATTCACCTAAAAGAGGGATAAAAATCCAATATATAAAAGGTCTATGTGCCTATGGAGGAAGCAGGSAAAATGTTCATAACTGTGCAGGTGCTATAAAGTCCCAAAAGGGATGTGTCAATCTTGTGTTGAGGCGTAACCGTGAAGAGACACATGTGCTCACTKCCTTGAACATTTAACAGCATTGTGTGAGTCTTGATGGAAAATGAGTCCTCCTTCCCCTTCCTGTCCCTGTTACTTTACTGGTGCAAACACCAGTTTAACCAAGAGAATGATTCATCACTTTTGTTCAAGGAATTTCACAGTATTGTTTGGTGAATCTTCCAGTAATTTCCTCCAAAATAACTTTTACAAAATCATGAAATAAGCAGAAACAACTCCGAGTAAGATAAATTCCTAATTTTACCTTCCCTTGCCAAAAACGCTTACAAGATTCTGTCTGAAATAACTTTATTTCTGTCTCAACTAATAAATGGCCAGTCAGGCTAATTTAAAGTTTCACAAAATAAAATTAAATCAAATTATTTCCCCCAGGTGCATCCTCTTCTGTTATTTTGAACCTATTTGCTGTGGTTTCAGGGATGATGTTACCATCTGTGCTCTGAATTTGGAAAGCATAGTGTTTACAAAAATTACTTAAAATTGATCTATGGAAGTTGGAACTGTCAAAAACAGCAGAACATCATCTAAWTCCCCATGTATTTTGATCTTCAATATTTTGAATTTATATGCTTGYTGGGGATAAAACTGGTACTGACAGAAGGAATAAGTTGCAGCAATGGAAACTTTACCTCCTCTTTATTTATCTTATCAAATGTATCAGTAATACAAATGTTCTACCCAGAGCCTGAGCCTAAGGATATACACACACCATCTTTCAGGTACCTTTGCTCCTTGGTGTCTCCAAAGATACAGAAGATGAGTTGTCAGCTACAGTCAGTGTTTATTCTAAATTGAACATTTGTTTTATGAAAGATTATRAGCTTTGACAACAGAAACCAAGCCATCCATTTCCTCTGCCACTTGCTGTTATTCATTAAATTGACTTATCCTCCTTATTTTTTATTCTCAGGGCTTCTGAATCCTATGGTAAGAACACTGTATGATGCAAGCTTTCAAATGCCCTCATGCCTTCTTTCCAAATCATGTCATGTCAGTTGCAGCCAGGATTTGGACAGACTGAGGCATAATCTAATGGTTTTCCCCAATAATCTATGAAAACAAATGTGTATTTTTGAGAAGCTTTAGTAGCTTCTGGTAGCCTAGATGAAAACAAGCTGCCCAGAAYTGGTTAGACCAAATCACATCAGAGGATAGCTGGATGGTTTGGTCCTGCTTATCAGAAATTAGCAAAATACAGATCACTAATATATTGCATTGCAGCAGTTTTGCTGCCTGTGCATTCATTCAACATTTAATTCTTTGGGACAGGCAAAAGCTATTTCCTGTAGTAGATATTTACCTTCACCACAGTAGATAAATATGGTATTCACTTYGGCTGAGGAGAAATGTGTCACTTACCTTCTGATGGGGAATTACAGCCCTGGGCGAGTCAATTCTGGGAGCTGTGGTTGAAACTGGCACTGGGCGTTTAGATCTGGTGATCAAAAAAAAAAAAAAAAAAAGAACAAGAAAAAAATTATGTGCAATTTTTCAGCTCTAACTTTATGCCAAAAAGCTGCTTCATCTAGACTGAAAGTTAAGCATAGCCTAAACGTTTCTCTATCAATAATCAGGCTTTTTCTACATCCTCATTTATAAAGGTATTAAATAAGAGAAAAAGTTTGAGAAAGTTTCTCTGATTTATGAAAACCCACCAGTTATAGAAGCAACCTCTGACTTGAGAGATCATCTGTTTCCTGATAGTTGAGACAAACTGCATTTTCATAGATGAAAGTCAGCCACAACTAGATAAATTCAAGTTTGGGTAGCACTATGGAAAAAGGGACTCAAACATGTTTTAAAATGCAGAGGATAAACTTTGGTGCTGAGGCATCTTGAGATCAACTCCTCAAAAGATTATTATTTAATAGCTTAAAATGTACAACTGTAACTACAATTAGTGAAACCTCTCTTCAGGAAGAAATACAAGCTTCAATTCAGACAACCGAGTTTCAGAATGAGCAGAACACTGCTGAATTAGCCACTCCATGTGCCTGTCTTTCACCCRTGTTTGACAATTACAGGTGTATTGATCATTGAAAAAGTTCAAAACAAACCCCACTAAAATGCTTCCAAAACACACAGCTTGTCATTTTGCTCATAAACAACAATGAAAGCACAGTGGTAAATGTTAACTGAAGCACTTCTAGGATAGTCCAGGTAAGTGAAGATATAATTGTGAGAGGTGTTGTGAGAATCTGCATAGCACTGGACATTCCTCTAAAATCGTTCCAGTACCCATGGGATCAACAGAGAAAATSAAATGAAAAACAAAAATAGTCAAAACAATCAGAATAATACAAGTGGTATCCCATTTCCTACCTACAAATCAGGATTAGGCCTCAAATTCTAATCTTTAAAAAGTATTTTTCAAAATTAAGATAGGTACAAAAATGAAATAAAAATACTTGAAAGCTTACAAATCAAGTAGAAGTGACTAAGATATTTGGGATTGTTTCCTTCAGACAGGAGATGAATAAGGGAAGACATTACAGAGGGATAGAAAATAATGAATGTTAGAAAAAGGGAAATAAAACCAGACTTGTGGACAGTGAGTGAAATTGAAAAGACAACACACAAAATTGATAAAGGCAAACATCTTTTTCTAGAGAGCTGGATTAACCTGAGGTGAAACTCATTGTTACAAGATATCATTGAGACTAGGAGAAGAGCAGAGTATCAGAAAGGATCAAACAGCTACACTTCCAACAAAAACCCCCTAGAGCTGSTTTAGACTGGGTATAATAAGTAAACATACAGACTCTCATTTTCCATGGCACAGCTTAAAAGACCTTCTGTGTTGGGTTCATTATTTCCTTACTGAGGGCTGTGTTGCACTTTCCCCTGAAATACTTACATGGGGCATCTATCAGAGGGGGAAAGMAGAGCTAAACAGAAATAGGGCTCATCCCCAGTGGCAGTCCCTGCATCAATACCCAGCTTCACGTTGAGCTCTGTTTAACTTTAGCACACATAGCATTTTTCCATGTGCAGATGTGAACATACAAAAAAAAATACTAGGAAAAAGCAACTTTTTACAGCAACTCTTTACAGCAACTGGAAGATTTACACTTAGAAGGTCTGGAAATTTTGCTACTTAAGAGACTGAAAACAAAGCTGATGTAATAGATGCCAAGGTCACAAGCAGGTACTATGAAAATGAACACAGTCTGAGGAGACAATGAAAACTGGCAYTTTGTTAAACAGCGTGCAATTAACCTGTGAAATTCACTGACAAAGTATTCCTGAAACAACAGGCTAGAAAATTGCAATTCATATTCACAGTTGAAATATATCACAATATAGTCCCTAACACATAATTATCTGTGTAACAGATACTTTCAATTTCTAAGAACAAGAGCTACTCACTGCCTAAAACAAACTGCCTAAAACAAACTTTCTTCAGGCAAGTTATCTTCCCTCAGGAACAAATGCCGTACTCTTCCTCCAACCATTTTAGCTTGAAAAAGAGAAATAATAAATCATATTTATGAGACATGCACACATATCATGAAAGACAGCAAAAAAGAAAAAATCAACTGCAGCTCATAACACACAGTAGCTGAAAACTGACAGYGACAGTTTATGAACACAAAGATTTAGGGGATGATTCTGCTCCTCTTCCATGACTGTAATTTCTGAGTACACCCAGTTATTTCTGTGAAGTGACATTGGTGGACCTGGGCACACCATGTTAAGTGTCCCCCTGCTCTGCTCACTGCTGATGAATTTAAATGCCACCACAGCTCAGCACTGTAAATATGATTTGCCAAGTACAGAGGTGTAGCAAACTACCACACATTGCATGGTTGATGCTTAACTGGAAACCAACTGTATTGCAGCAAAGGAATTTATTTACCACTATTCCATCACTTCTGATGTTTATTGTTTCCTCTCTCATTACCTGACCACAGAAGATGATGCTAAAAACTTACATTTYRTCCACATTACTGGTRAACTGCATCTGACATTCACAGTGTYAGCCAGGATTTGCATTTAACACCAGCTTGGAGGTTTCAAGATGCTACTTGAAAACARCGTTGTTCTTACACAACTCTGACTTGGATGTTTATAGCTTTGATATTTAAAAACAGAATAATGAGGCTTGCTAGATCCAGCAGAGGCYTGCACCAGAGAAAAGGGCAGAAGAGGTGAAATCAATTTGTGGAATGAAAGTGAATGCACTTGCAGAACAAAGTGGTTATTTACATAAGAGTCATTACTCCTCTGGAAAAAACATCTGCAAGTTCAGAACATTCTTTTTTTCCTCCCTCTTTTGCTAGATGGATCAAATCCTGCTGCAACAGAAGTTTGCTTTTCAAGTGATGAAGCTGTTGTAGCAAACATATGTGTCCAGGTTTACATTTTAATCCAAAATGATTTTATTCCAAACACTTGAGGGTGTACCTGCTCAGTTGGGCTATGAGAAGGATGAAAGCCCAAATTTCACAGATGATTGTGATAATTTTAGATTTGATGTTGAGATTTTTCCATCAAGATTTTTTTTCTTAGGCAATTAAATTTATTTCAAATTTTAGTCATTTTCTTCTACATTTTCCAAATTAAAGATGGAAACAAAAATCTCATTTYGGAATAAAATCTTGGAACAGTTCTTATGATGGCCAAATACATAATTCTGTTTTTTAAAAAATCTTTTCCTTTCCACAGATACACCTCTCCTCTGCCTCAATACCGGTTYTCTTTTTTAATTAAGTTCAAAACCAAGATGGATGTAGTTTTGCAATGCAATTCAATTTTGACAGTACTGCTGAAATGACTGCCAGATTTTCTACTTGTTCCCACCTCCCTAAATATATCTTTCATTGAAGAGTACTTGACYTCAATCCTGGTATTTTTGTACTCACAACTAAGGTTCATTAGGAGTCAACTACACTGAGGAACTGCCTAAGGAAGTGCTGCAAAGGAGTTCTGTGATGCRTTATCAGTTTAAATTGCATCCTCAGGGGAACACACTGTTGTACTTGCAGAGAGGTGACATGATCTAAGAGATAATAGCACTTTTTCATCTTCATGTGGCTTTTTTTCTGTTTCATATCTTCACCAGTCAGTGTTTATATTTTCTAATTCTTGGGACAACTGAAATCAACATTTCTTTCTTAGAGTATGCTTTTTTCATTTGTCATTTTATGACACATGAGCACTTATTTACAGCCTCTTGAATATCTTAATAATTGTATCCTACTATTTTAACTACTAGAAAATGAAAAGGCATGAAGTGCATGGAAAGATAATAATAATATTAGATTTGGGTTAGAAATGCTTAGAAAACATTTTACATACTTTAGAGCTATCACCTAACTGAAATGGAGCCACTGTGGAGTGGCGCGGGTGAGCACACAGCAGAAAGCAAACCAACAGAGCTTGTACAATTCGGCTTCTGATATCCATTTGTTTTAATGCATAAATATTCCTGACARCTTGGTGGGGATGGTGATGGGAGCATGGGGAAGAGATGTAAAAAGGACTGGTTAACTTTTTCTCGCTTATTGATTTGATATCAATAAGTGCTAGGGTAGTAATGTGCCAGTTAAATCTTCAGCTAACCTGTGAATTAGGCAGCCAAATAGAAGCTGCTACTTGTCTTGCACAGAAAATCTTGAGTCTCATGAAACCCTGCCTGGGACATCAGCAACCACTCTGGATGACTCCAATAAGAACCACAAAGCCCTGAATATTTCACAATACTCAAATACAAGTGCAATCACCCTGGGCCTAGGATCAGACCTAATTCCCTTCTCTCAGGACATCATCTGTGCCTGCAATAAAATTGAAAAATACTTCCATCAGCACTTTTGCTGTCTATATGTCAATGGCAAATGCAAATATTAGCATTTGGCTGGATGACTCACTCGTTAATTATTTCCCTGCATTGTGCTGCACTCAGATTGCAAGYTGGGCAATTACACTTTCCAGACCTAATGCTCATGCCCACAGCAACATAAAGAAAAAAGCTTTTTATGCATAGAGGGTATTCACCTAAAAAGGGAGCTGCTATCCAATAAAGAAGCTGTTTGGAAGTATGTAATACCCATTTTCCCTTAGAAGGAATCTGAGTCAGGGGCAAACACAAACTTTAAGGGACAGAAAGGGAAAGTAAAGGGAAGAGGCCTTGGAGATTTTTGTGAAAGGGAGGAAGGAAAGGAAACTGAAACTAGTATGTGAAAAGATGAGGTTTTTGTAAAGACTCCCCTCATCTCCCTTTGACCCTTTCAACTTCTCTGGCATCTGCACAGTACCTGCTGCATCCTCCTTATCCTCTCCCCTGCTATGGAAAATCCCTCCTTTCCTGAACTGCTCCACAGTCTACCTTCCAGCTCGTTCCCTCCTAATGGAGCCACTGGCTGTCGATGCCTCCACCTGCTCTTAATTGACTTGGTACGGACTCTAAAATTCCACCATCCCAGCGGACAGGGA